CTTGTATTTTAAAATGTGTTGTGACTACTTTAACAATATTTTTATCACCTTTATATATATGTCATTTGGCAGTAAAACTCACGGCAAGTTATTTATGTAACAGTAATTCGTTAAAAAAAATAAGCAGCGTCAATCATTTTACTAAGCACTACAAACAGTAGGGTTCACCAATTTCACATGCATCCAAACACTAACATAATACAAGCAAACTAAACAGACATAAAATTTTCAAATTTCCAAAACAGGTTAGTCAAAACAAACATTTCACTTCCTCATAATAAGATTATTAACACGTATCAACACATTTATTCCTACTTAACTTTATACGAGCGAAACCCTCACTTCAATATTGTTCTTTTATTACTATAATGATGTTACCACATAAAAGATTATTTGATTCGAGACAATTTATAAGGCTATAAATAAATGATATCGTTAGCTATATTCAAAGAAGATTTATAAACGAACTGTCGCCCACGGCTCCGTCGGCGCGGAATTAAAAAGAGCTTAATAAGTAGCCTATGTATTCTTGGAGACTATGTTTTATATTTGTGGCAAATTTCATCAAAATCCGTTGATACGTTCTGGAGATACCTTCAAACAAACATCCTTTCATCCATCCACCTAAAGACATAAGAGATTTACCAGTTCTGTGATTTACCACGTTATATATTAATATAATACATTATGTTATATACACTACGGTGTACATAAAATATATTCCATGAAATGTACGATATTCATATTATAAGTTGTATTAAATTATACAATCTTGAGACAAACTCAATCTAAGTTAGTTGTAACAAGGATACGTTCAACTTAATTGTATGTGATTCGGATGTCACCTTTGAATGATGCCGTTATTAATTTGTCCTCGTGACTCGTGAGCGACGCTCCGACTGCCAATTTACACGTTGACAACTTTATAACTTTAGTATAAATTAAAGCAGAATGCTTGTTTCCTTTAACTGAAGTGGAATATTACAAATAAAGATTTTATTTGGAAGTAGCTGTCGCCCGCTACTCTACACAAGTGGAAACAAAACTAATTAGAACTGTGTTCTTCCAGACTATGTTCTATATGTGTGCCAAATTTCTTCGAGATCCATCAATCTAAACATTCGTATTTATAATATTAGTAAGATAATTTGACAGAATTTAATATTACTAAAATGTCATAGTCTCGGGCGACAACTAGTGTCTATAAATGTATAATCTGTTTTGTAAAATAAATGTTTTGTTTAATTTTAACCATATTATTGTATAACAAACATTGAAATGATCCTAAAACACATAAAAGATATTAAAGTGGCGGTCGTTTGTGCCCAATATTGTAAATTAATATTCCAATCAACGGATCTTAAGCTTAACATAGTATTAAATAAAGCCTATTTCCTAATAATCTTTGACAATCCCACGTATGTTTCGATGTTAAACAGAGTAAGGAATAATGGATACATAATTCCGTATTAAACGTGTAAACAATGTTAAGATATGCCAATATTCTGTACGCACTTAATTGTGCAAACATGTCTCGCATAGTAACCATAATTTTCCACTGACAAAAAAAAATGAACCGTAATATATTGTTGTTTCTGTTTTTCCCTAAAAGAGTGAAAGAGATGCTTTATTCTTCTATACCGTTTTTATTACCATGCAGGTTTTACATATTTTAACACGTTAGCTGCGATGTCGGACTATATGTCCGACAAGCCATACTTCCATTCAACAACTGTGGCTTTTTAATCGTTGTATACAGCGTGACTCGCAAGGCCACATTCAAATGGTTTTGGAAAAAAAATGATTTTTTTTCGTTTTTTCGAAAAATCATTCTGGCAGCTAAAGTGTTAAGGGGTTACACAAAGTGCACTCGCTCCGAAGTAAAACGAACTTCAAAAATGTATACAACTGACAATAACTTTCGTTAAGTCACCTTCAACCAACCAGTACCTGGCTACATAAATATCTCTGACTATAGCTATCTCATCGGACGTACAAAGAAAAGGTATCAAAACTGTACGAATTATACAACTAGTAAGTTCTATTTACGAGTATATTGATAAAGATCTTTATGTACGTTAAAATGTTTTTCCTGATTTTGACACAACTGTTATTTGATACGATTCTATAATGGACGGTTCGTAAGGCAGGAAATTAGAAGGGCAGTAGTGTTGGGTGTTTTGTTTATATGTTTGGTCTTTTATATATCTTTGTATTAAAACACGAACACATATATCACCAATGTAATTGTATATTTTTTGTCTATAATATATTAGCTATAAACTTGAATTAGTCTTTTAGCGAATTTATTAAATTATTACTGTAAAAAGATGTTTTTTATGTTATAAAATTAATTATATCTTCAATAGTCCGTTTATTAATAAGAAATATAAAGTAAAAGAAAATTTTAATATATTTCAAGTAAGTTGAAAATTTTGTTTTTTACCTCAAATACTAAAGCATTTTACTCAATAGTTGCATTTTTAGTTTATTAAAAATAGCATCGACATCGTGTGCCCTCGGGGAAAATTCGATTCGTTGTGCAGATAAAATTTACCGCAATTTTTGAAGAGACAGAAAATAACTCATTTTTTTTTATGACGTTATAATAAAAGTTTATTTAAAGTTTAAGTAATTGTGTTCTATTTATCTTTAAAACCAACTATAATGTAACTTTTAAAACTGTTTTGGCAGGACGTATAAATTAGACACGCACTGTTACTTAGTTATATTATATCTGGTTTTGTTCTAAAAGAGGTCAGTACTTAGCTAAGCTACTGTTTGTGTTACTTATATCTCAAGGGACCTGTTTTAAGTTCAAAGTATGTTACGGTGAGTGTTCTTCACTGTACATACTATATTTATAGTCATAAATAACAATTTTAATGTAAGACGTGTCTCTAAAATCTCTCTCTCTATATATATATATATATATGTAAAAGTTAATTACTGAATGAAAGTAACAACTTGGTTCTTGCAACTTTATGTTGCTAATAGATTACTGCAGGCGTTTCTCGAATTTATATCTTGTCTTACTAATATTATAAATGCGAATGTTTAGATGGATGGATGGATGTTTGTTTGAAGATCTCGAGAACGGCTGCATGGATCTTGCTGAAATTTGTCATAGGTGAAGAACACAGTCTGGAAGAACACATAAGCTTGTAATTAAGTTCTTTTTTTCATCCCGCACTGACAGAATCGAGGGCGAAAGCTAGTTAATAATATAATCAATATAAAAACTCAACTTAAAATTATAAGAAGACTTGTCAATTGGTGAAAGGTTTTTTTTTATATTGGTTTACCAGTTTTTATAATAAATATTTTAATTTTACAACATTTATGAAGACAAGAAGCTGTAGTTGAAAAAATAAAAGTAATTGGTAAATAAATATTTTATAAATTTTATATTCCCCTTGTGGAACGTATTGTTATTTCAGATTTTTCAGAAAAGATAAAAGGGATAGCAATATGTTTCATATTATTACGTCAGTAGGAAAACAAAGGAAATTCCTTCAATAACAAGGTTGTTTCCGCATCCACTCCTATATCACAATTACTTTTATTAAGGTTCTTTGAGTTAATCCGTCTAAAATTTCCTTTAATATTGCAAGATTCAGGAAGAAAAAGGCTTCGTAGAACTTTATTACAAGAAAAACTCATGACGATAAAACTTTATTACTCCAACCGAGTTTATAAGACCACGATGTTACATTGTATTACTTTGTATATATTACTAATATTATTAATGCGAATGTTTGGATGTATGGATGTTTGTCAAGGGAGGTTTTACAACCACGCCCCACACTAGCGCCGGTACTGAATGGACATATTCATAAGAGTAATCGTTGCATAATTAGATACCTAGAAAGTCTTTTACTTATTCCCGTTATTTTTCTAAGAGCCTGTATAAATAAGACTCTACATATAGATTGTCATAGGAATGTCTTTGATGGTCCCCCAGGAATACCTTTGAAGTTTTTTTCTAAGACGATATGTGCTTTGAATCGTCCGATGAAAAATCTTCTTCATATTAATATGTTCAATGTTTATTTTTTATACGAAATGGATGCTCTTTTATGTAACATAAATGTAACTAATTAAAATAATAGGTATATTATTAAAGAAATTAATTAACCATACTAATATAAATATGAATGTTTGGATGTATAGACAGATATTTGTTAGAATTTATCTGGACCACGGCTTAACGGATGTCGATGGCATAACATAGTCTGGAAGAACATATACTAATTATTTTTTTCCGAGCAGAGTCGCGGGCCAGCCAGTAATATTATAAATGAAGTAAAATAGTTGGTAGAAAAATTCAGTAACTTTATAAGAAAAAGTACAGCTGCCAGGAACCCACAATAAATTGATTCGAGTAGCGACAAAGACGGGAACCACCATTATTTATCCTACACTGTGCCAGTTTTAGTGAACGTTCAGAATTTTCAGACATATACGTATGTGTTAATTTCATGAGAAATATTAACTTATGTCTTTTACATATACAAGTAATATTTATAATTAAATCTATATTAGTAGAATGATTTGCACTATTACATAGGAGAGTAATGTTTTTTCGCGGTTAAAAAATGCTTAAACAATCTACGCAACAAAAACTATATCAGTTGTTTTAGGTCTTACTAGTTTTATACCTGTCGAGAATTTTTTAGGCACTCACTAAAGCTCGCAGCACACCTCAAGTTTAGCGACGCCTGACGCGACCACGAATCTAGCCTGATAACTACCATAAAAAAAATCCCTAGTGTCTGAAACTAGTCGGTCTCGAATCAGCGCTAGACAAATTACATTCCCTACAAATCGAATCTATAACGAACTTGAAAAATGTATAGAACTGAACTGCACGTTAGTTCCATACAATTTTGAAGTTCGCTAAGGAATCGCTTCGAAGCGAATGCGCTTTGTATAACCCCGCTGAATTATCTGTACGCGTTTATCTATTGTTTGTAGTGGAAACATAGGTTGAGACTTACCTAAGGCGAAATCACAGGAGGGTCCAAAGAAGACGTGTGAGCAGTCGTTGTATGCATCGATGGCGGTGATGACAGCGTATGCGGCGTCACAATCGCTGACGTCATAGCGCCGCCACTCGAACTGTACCCAGGGTGGGAACGCGTTGCGAACTACCTCATGCTGCATGGCTAGCTCGAATACTGGCTCCACCTAAATAACATAAAAATGCCTTTTTAAACACTACTTGTAACCGCAAATAGATTCATCATTGTCCAATACCATGAAAAAAAAGATACTACAAGTGTATTATCAGGATTCTCACGGTATGCTTTTGAGATCAAAATCCCCGTATGAAACTTATTCTTATCATTGTTTTGTCAAAGATAATGACAGAGATGATATGTTTTAAACAGATATTTTGGTCTCAGAAACCAAATCGGAAAAAATCAATTTAATTTTTTCAAAAATTTAAGTTTTGAAAGGGCTTTATCTTTTTCTCTAGTACATTATTTTAACAATTTACTATGGGCAAATTAAGATCCAGTTATCATAGCATAGACAAAACAACGTCTAAAATATATATCTATAACCATAAACAAAATACAATTACTTACAACTGGTAACGACGCATCGAACGTTGTATTCTTAGGCAGCAACAAAGCCGCCCTTATCTTACAAATTCCGTCATCGCTACAAACGTTTTCACATTTCCTTTCCCGTGGTTCTTCCTCGCGACAATTCTGCGCGTAACCCGAACACACAAGCACGAATATAAACAATAAAACACCCATTTTATCGACACCTCATTTCATCGATATTAGCACAACACTATTTGTAAAATCGCTACAACACTAAATTAACTCATTTTTAACACAATATTTAATTCACAAAACTCACGCGCTCTGCCATATTTCACTAAAACCTGGAACAAAGAGGAAAATAATTTGAGCTAATAAAGTAAAAATTGTTTGAGAAGTTTAACACAATAATCTTGTTCCGGGAACACAGACAAATTGTCGACTATAGCAGTATAAACTTATCTAGAATGTTGTGAATTATAAATGTAACTAACTTAAATTTATTGTATACATTTCAAACAAGTTCTTCGTAACATTTTCAACAAGCTGTATGTATTCCTTTTTTATAGAATCCATGTAACGATGTTGAAAAAGAAAGTGCAACAAACTAACTTTTCTTATTAATGTTGCCGCTTTTAATTAAAAACGAAATGTAGGAAATAAAAAAGTTCAAACAAACATCAAATTATTATTTAACCCGTTTGTTATAGGTTTATCTACTTTTATAAATTTGTAATTTTTTAAATTACTTTTAATTCAAATTAAAAGGAATTTTAATTATTATTGTAAGCTATAATGAAGACGTCGGTGGCTCAGGGGTCTGAAATATATATCACTTGACTTGCAATCTGCAGATCCTGGGTTCGAATCTCGCCATGTATCAATGTGTTCCGATCCGTGATTTCCGATTTACATATGTACATTTATCTGACGTTCTTACGGTGAAGGAAAACATCGTGATGCAACCCGCACTTGGCCAACGTGGTTGACTATGACCTCGTCACCCTTAACTTAGGGTAGGCTCCGAGCCCCTCGGTGGGGACATATACTGAGCTGATGATGATGATGATCAAGACAGTATTAAATATCTTAAAGGATGATTTTAAAAGATAATTTATGATTCACAAAATATTTTGAATTTAATACTAAGGGAATCTGTAAAAAAAATAAGCTTATGTTTTATTTCACTATCAGCTCACTACACGTCCCCACTTAGGGTCTCGGAGCCTTCCTAAAGGTTATTTTTGTATAACGCAGGTGGTTCGGCGAAAATTAAAATGTCATGAGTAAATTAATTAAATAAATGATCACCATAGAAATGCAATACAAGTGTTCACATTTGTTAATTAAATGTGGAAGTCTTAGAAATTACATTAACAAGGACAAGTTTCTCTTTGGTATCCAATTTAATTTTGCTGATTGAACTTCAGTATTAGTTTTGTATATTGCTACGACATTTCGCTACGAGATGAGTTCGTAGACCCATAAACGTCACGTGTAGCAAAACACAAATATATTGCAATGCACAATTCTAATAATATATACCGCATTTATATTTTAAAAAATGATTCAGTGAGCTGAGGGCCGCGTCCGCGAAAAAATACCAGTACCACTCATCCTGATGAAGGGCCCCCGATGGGCTCGAAACTAGTCGGTGCCGCCACCGGACCATATGTGAGTGTTTAGAAGTTTTTATATCAGTTTAAATAATACTTGTATAAAACAAATTAAAATTATTATCTTTAGAAAGAAAATCCGATAATGTGCCGGTGTAATGGCGCAACACTAGCCGTACTAAAATGTCGACGATTATGTCCCTTCACTAATCATTCTGACACTTGACTTAGTAATGAAATCCTGTCATTCGCGCTAAAGGATTCTAATTCATAATATCTAAAATTATCTTAATATTTTAACGCTTAATATTCTTATGTTTTTAATAGCATCTAATCTTATTTCAAAGCATCATTTTTCAAAACACGTACGTTATTAAAGAAATACAAACATCTGTTATGCAGTTGCACACCGCTTGTAGACTTAGGATTCCTCTTGTTCAAACTGAGAGAGCCCGAGGGATAAACTCTGTCTGGTTAAATATTGGAAAACGTTGCACGATTCTTAATAAAGTTCTTTTTACTCGGTGCGATTTTAAAATGAAATTTTTAGAGAAACTTCATTTTATTTTTGTACTGTTTGCACTCAAGAAATTATTTATGTGCTTGAAATATATTGATTTTATTGTTAAAGAAAAATACATAATGTTGATTCCCGCTATCTAAATATATTTATTTTTATAATACAAATATTATAATCTTACAAATATTATAATGCGAATGTTTGGATGTAAGGATGGATGTTTATTAGAATGTATCTCCAGAACGGCTCATCGGATATGGATGAAATTTGGCAAAGATGGAGAACTAAGTACGGACGAAAACATATGCTACTTTTTTATTTTATACCGGAGTCGCGGACAGCTAGTGTAAAAATAAATGTACCTCTACCATAAAAAAAACAATCATTCAAAATTACTAAAGCCCTTTAGTAACGCATGTCACAATGAAACATACCCGTGACAAACATTACCTTAGGATCGGATAGGCAAAAATTGAATATAAATCATTTTAATTCTAGCTGTCGCTCGCGACTCTGCCTGTACGAAATTTAAAAAAAAACATAATTAGTAGCTTATATGTTCTTCCAGACTACATTCTATATGTATGCCAAATTTCATCGAGGTCCGTTCATCCGTTCCTGTGATACCTTCAAACATCCATCCATCCATTTAAACATTCGCTTTTATAATATTGATAAGATAAGATTTATTTCATCTTATTGAGTTCAGTTACTCTTTAATATAGTGTTACTAAACTTTTTACGTATTCCGTTTGTGATACGAAAAGAACTTTTCCTCACAAAAAACGAGCCTTCTTTGTTTTACAATAAATATAAATAAACAATGGACAGAACGTTTTACTGTTTCCTTTGATCATAAAGAACAAGGATTATCCTCTGCCAAGAAAGTTAGACAAGATTTAGGGCGATAAAGAAAAAGTCTCATAGGTCAGAAAAAACTAAGCCTCGCTGAGAACTCGAAACCCGTTTTTTACTACGATATACAAAGACATATGTAACTACAATGATTTTTAACGGCAATGGAAGCCTGCTCTTATGTTTTATCGTTCTAGTTTCACTGTCGATTAAATTACTACAAATTCCATAGATAAATTTAAAAGAAAAACAATTAACGACAAAAATAGGCACGCAAATTAAATACATTGCTGCGTGACCTTGAAGAAAACTACAAAAATAGAATCAGTAGAACGCAATGGACATTGTTGATAAATCTACGTCGATAAAGCTGGAAAAATCGATCAATTTACGTTTCTGATTATACGGATGATAAAAATGATAGATTAGTGCTACGATCGAATGGATTTAGTTTGCTTTATTTATAGAATAAACACTATCATAGTATGTGGATCATATAAATATAGAACTTAATATCAAAACATGGTCAAAAATAAGTAATCAAACAAAATAAAATGCTTATCAGTTCTATTTTGTAAGTAATTGAGCATTTGCCCGCAACTTCATCTGCGCGGAATTGTAGTAGCAGAATAATGCTCGCGGGCATCCGTTACGTTCTCTTCAAAGTCGCGTCAAAATCGGTTCACTCGCTCCAGAGATTACCCGGAAAAAACGCGACCTCGCGAACAGACGTATGTATTCTATCAAGTGTACGATTTTTCTTTGTATAACATATAGTATTCCAATTTTTTAATATGAATTTATATTAACGAATAAATAAATTATCAAACTAATGAATTAAAATTGTACAAAGTTAAATAAGTAAATAAAACTGTTTAATAATTCTATGAACACTTAAATATTATCAACGCAGACTTTATTATAGCTATTAGCATACATTAATAACTCATACGATATCAAAAGCTTTCACAAATATTTAAATCGCACACCCTAGAGGCAAACTAATATGTCACTAGATAATCGTTCAATTTATCAAAATTGTAGAACACGAATTCAAAGTTTAATATTAATAAAATAGCGGATATACTAATAACACAAAAATGAGTGTAGTTTATATGTAACATAGTGACTTTTTAAATGTTAATGACTTTTTCGTTTTCCACTTTCTCGCAATTATATAAAAACTAACTGACGCCCGGTACTGCGTCCGCGCGGAATTAAAAAGACTTAATTAGTAGCCTATATGTTCTTCCAGACTATGATCTACATCCATGCAAAATTTTATCAAGATTTGTTCAGCCGTTCTGGAGATACCTTCCAACAAACATCTATCCATCCATCGATCTAAATAAATCATTCGCATTTATAATATTAGTATAATGGCTAGAAAGTTTAACTGTGAGTTTCCGACACCGAAATCTCTGTTTAAAATATACTGGTATATCTTTGTCAAAGATATTGATAGGGATAACGATATGTTTATACAGAGATTTTGTTCTTTAAAATAATCGATTAGAAAATTCAAACAGCTTTCCTTATTAGTCAGATACTATCTTCAAATAATTTTATCTTACTTATAATATAAACTCGAATATTTGCATGGATGGATGGATATTTGTTAGACGGTATCTCCGGAAAGGCTCAACGGATCTTGACGTAGAACACACTCTGGAAGAACAAATAGGCTACTTATTAAGTTTTTGAATTCCGCGCGAACGGAGTCGCGGGCGACAGCTAGTTTAGATCTAAATTGGATTTACATTACATATTAGATGTACCAATTATGTAAAAACAATCACGTAGAGCGTCGGTGGCTCAAGAGCGTCGGTGGCTCAAGAGCGTCGGTGGCTCAGTGGTCAAGCCCTTGACTTGTAATTTGCAGGTCCTGGGTTCGAATCCCGCCATGTACCAATGTGTTTTTTCGATTTCCGATTTACATATGTACATTTATCCGACGTTCTTACGGTGAAGGAAAACATCGTGATGCAACCTGCACATATCTGAGAAGAAATTCAAAAGATATGTGTGAAGTCAACCAACCCGCACTTGGCCAGCGTGGTTGACTATGGCCTAATCACCCTCAACTTAGGGTAGGCTCCGTGCCCCTCGGTGGGGACGTATAGTGAGCTGATGATGAATCACGTATCGATAATATCAACAAACAGATTCAAATAAGTTTACAATTCCAATGCGGTTACATTGCAATGTTTGTGTTAATCAATTCAATCGGATTCGGATTTGCTAAATACACGAACCTAGTCTACATTACACATGTTTCCTATCAAAATACAGCTAATATAATATAAGTGTACGTTTCCATTGACCAAAATTTGTTCACTCTTAAGTTT